AATAAAATTAAAAAGAATAATAAACATTTGGATCTGATATTTTTCTTTTATAAAGAAAAACTCCATAAGATAAAATGTACAATGAGAACTCTTGTAAAATGTGAAAATTATAAATATTTCAAACAAAATTTTCAATATAGTACTACAGAATATTGGGGACTTTTATGTGATTATTTTTCATATTTTTATATCTCTTATGATATAATAAAAGTAAATAATGAATGAAACCTAAATTAGAAATTAAAATTATAGGCTATAATATTTTTATTTTTTTATGAACACTTCAAAGAACATACATGTCTATGTATTTACATAATTAATGGTAAATCCATTATTAATATCTGTAATTAATTTCTCCAAAAAAGGCTAATTTAAAAATATAAAGAAAAAGAGACTTAATACATGTTTTAGAACTTATTATATATAATAAAAATAAATTAATGGTTATACAGTTGAATAAATGTTGAAATAATTGATTTCATAAATAATATTCAAGCAAAATATATGGATTGAATATTTCTTAAATAATTGATATATATAGAACAAATTCAGAAAACGTATAATTAGACGTAATTAAGTATATTGCTCGAAACTGATAATCATACAATATATGAATAGCATAATAAATAATAATCCTTTCTTATATAGTTTTAAAAATATTGACAATGATATAAAAGTGAAGAATATGCTTGTAACAATGTTCGTATTGTATAAATAATTATTAAGTTGTGATTAATAAAATATTAAAAAAAATGTTTACTGTCTTAGAAACACTCTTCAGCATAAAAATATAATCATTTATCATTTAAATAAGAAAAGGTATATAATTGTAATAACATTTTTATTTTTGACAATGTTTCCACAAAATTCTTCTTAATGTGTAATTATTACAAAAATAATTTTTCCTTTTTTAATTCTTTTGTCAAAAATTAATAGTAATATTAAAACCATGCAGAAATGTTAGAACAGATGAGCTATAATGGAAGTAACATGAATAAAAGACAGTTTTAATAATCTCATTTAGGGAAATAAGTGGTGCTATAAGCATAGAGAGGAGGAAAGATTCAAGGTTAGAGATACACCATGGATAGGTTCAATTTTATTCACAGGTATGTGTAGAGTTTATATTCTTTACCTTTTACAATAACAATAATTGCATTCATTTTATATGAAGTTAAAATTTAATTTAATTCATTAGATATAGTTTTTTATAAAATTAATGTTACATATAACTATGAATTACGTATATTTAATAAATAACTTTTATATAAGGATTTCAAATTTCATTTTATTTTTAGAATAAAACATTTGGTTAATTATTGCTATTAAAGCTATGCAATGAGAGGATAATGCTAAAAAAAAAAGGCTGTATCAATTTAATAGATTCTTTTGAAAACAGATACAATAATTCAAAAAAGACACGGAATTATATAGAGCTCAATAGAATATTAATAATAATGTAATAATAGTAAATTAATTAATTTTGTTTTATATAATAATTAACTTGACGTACATTTTATATGAAAATAAAATAATTATATACAAAAAATAATTTTCATACAGCAGTAGGCGTATTATAAGAATTACATAGAGTTTTTACAATATAGTGTAAATAAATAACATAAAAATTTTGAAATATTACAATATAATATACTATAATTATAATACCTGTATTAAATTATCAATATATGAAAATAAACCTACAGATATTATAAATTATGTATACATATATGAAATAAAATGAAATCAGGTTCAATACAAAAATTGTGTTAATAATGTACAATTTGTGAAATGCACTAATTTTTTATTGAATATAGCTAAAATAAATGGTGATGTATTGTGTTAAATAAATAAACAATATAAACAAGTAAGAATATGGCAATAAATTAAATAATATCTAGGATAATTAATAAATCCTATATATAAATGTAAAATCTTTATTTTCGTAACTTTATTTTGAATAAATCATAATATATGATTGTAGTCACAATAATAATGGATTAGGTACTTCTAACTAGTACATATTATATTGAAAATAGAAATATTAAAACATTAAATATGAAACTAGGATAATTTTATTCATGAATTAATTAGAATAATTATGCACATTATGTATTAAATATTTTACAATTATTAATCCTATTTTTTATTTTGTTCTCCATTAAAATTATGCATATATATGTTAATTTATAATAATTCTACACATTTACATACACTAGATATATCATAATTTTTATAGATTTACATCGTTAACAAGTACATATGTTTTGCAAAACAATAATGTTTTAATTATATTGCTAAAATACTTTCTTTTTTCCATCACTTTTTTTTACATTATATGGAAAAAAATATTAAAAATCAATATAATACTTGCAATAGTTACACACATATGATTTCGCTAAAAAGAAAGTATAATACTCATAATGTTTTCAATCTTATTACGAATAACTAATTTATTATATATATATTTACAATTAAATAAATGATATACGAATATTATAGTATAATTTTCCTTTGAGATATAATATTTTGTTCTGTGAGAATTAGTGTTAGTTGTACACAAAATGCTTGAATTCCCAAATCAATTATTATAATGTGCCCAAATTTCAGTAAATAGAGAAATTGTATATATGTATTTATTTTATTCTATTTATGTGTAGTAACGTGCTTAATCTTCCATTTGATGTAATAATTAAAAATTGAATTTTCATATATTATAATATTTTCTAGGTATTATAAATTGTCTTTATTGTTTATCATAATATATCATATTAATATAATGAAATTTATTTTCTACATGCATTCTAATGCTGTACTCTGAATATTACTGTAAAATAAATTGGATTAAGTAACTAGTATTTCTCATTTATTGGTTTTTGTTAATTTAACTATATGCTATTTTATACCTATCATCTATTGAATTGTTGTATTCAAAATCAAATGTTTCCATGAGTCCTAGGTTATTCTTGTTATTTTTATTCATCTTTCTCCTTAATTTCCGTATCCTTGGTTTTAAAAATGAAAAATATGGGGTATACTAAAGAAAAAATAAAACAATATTTTTATTTTTGTTTATTTATATTATATGTATTTTTTAAAATATTTCTATGATGAAATATAATACAACATAATTTTGTCATATTGATTTTATTTTTAACCTTATATAAAATAAACAATATTATTAATATTGAAAAAGTTATAAAAAACTTTCCAATACTTATTCCTGTGTTTGTTACATTATCTGTTTCAGTGTTCATAAAGGCTTGAGGATCAATTAACTTTTTCTCTAACGTTTTCGTTTGTTTCCCAATATTCCTTATGGTTTTTTCATCTTTCTCTTCGAGTTTCCTTTTTCTTTCTAATAACCAACTGTCAGAAAGGATAGCTGCGGCGTGTTTGTAGGGATGTGTCGTCCACCTATTTTTAAAGTCCTTACATATTTCAATAATTTTTTGGAGTTCTTCTTTAAGTCGGTCTTTATTATTATTATAAAAATTTTCTAAATGTTCAATTTTCTTTTTGAACTGGCGCATAGTACCGGTTTCGCCAATTTTGCGACCATTAAGTAGATCCTTGTAGTAATATATATTAAACAGATATTCAAATATATTAGATGTCTCTTGTTTAATATGTTCAGGATGACTCATACATATGTCAGATATCTTTGTTCTAGGAGAATATATATTTTGTTCAACCATTTTATTATAGAAATCTTTAGCTTCACTATATTCATTTATGGAAAATTTATGTATTATATCATTTTTCAGTTTATAATAGAATAATTTACAACAGTTTTTTTCATTATTTTCTTCTATATTTCGTACTATATATTTTAAATATGAACAAAGAACTCGGCAATATTTAATAAAATTAATATTGTTATATCCACCATTATTTACAGCATTCTGAAATTTGCTACACAGTAATGTTAATTCTTGATCATCTCTAGATATATTTGCCTCCATATCCCAGTTGAAACCATTTGCACATGTGTGAAACATACCATTAAAACTGAACTAAATATGAAAGTGATAAAATACCAAAAAATTATAAATTTTTAAGAAAATAATTTTGCATTCATTTTTAATAAATAAGATACGTTTAAACAATGTATATAAAGATTTATTTTATTAAGAATTTAAGTCGTACGTCTTCACCGTCTGGATTAGTGGCACTCGTCATAATTTATATATCATCTGAAGAAAAAAAATAAGCTCTACGCTTATCATAATAAATTCTTATTTGTCAAAAGTATCAGGGTAAATATTATATTCACATCTTATATAATAACACATATGATGTTATTTAATTCTACATATTTTACATTAAATTAGCACATTTATTAAATTAATTATTAATCTAAAACAATGTTAGTATTATTCTTTTTAGGAAAGTTGATGTCATTTAAAAATCTTATCATAATATGAAAAATAAATACATATAGTTCGAAATATATAAAAAAATCTAAAAAAACGCTATACTTGTAATAACATTATATATAACACAACTTTTATAATATTTACAATACATATAACGAATTAAATTTTATATGTACTATAGTAAATAATTTTATTATAAATTATTTATTTTATGTCTTTAATTACATTGTAAAAATATGTGCATTCATGTATCTTAAAAAATGCTATACTACAAAACACATTGCTAATAAGATATACATCTGAATATATTTTATTTGCTTATTTTTGTTTTGAATATTCTTATTTTACAACTTATTATCTCGGCGTTTAGAATATTATTACATTTTTATAAAATGTATTAGGAAGAAAAAAATATAATATATCTTATTTTATGTAAATTTTTTTAAAAAATAAAGTAATTATTATTCTATAACCATCTATAATTTATATACACATTAATATGTGAATATGGTGCATTGTAAATAATTAATTAACATAAGTATATGTATATTTACTTGTAAATGTGTTATTTATATTTTATATTATATAATATTTTATTAATATAAATATTATATTATGTATGAATAAGAAAAATATTTTAGACATATAATTTTATATAATATATCAAACCGATATTACATTATAATGAATAAATATTTTTTTCATTATTTTATATAATGTTATAATAAAATAATTTACTCATGAATAAAAATTCCTTGAGTTTTGAAATATTGTATTTATTTATTATTTTTTATAGTTATTATTCAAATTAAAATTATTACATAATATATTGTTATATTTTTTATTTTAATTTTTTTTTTCATTTTATTATACTTAAATTATTCATTCCCCATAGGCCCATGAAATAATTTTTTTACTGAAATCTTGTAAATGAAGCTATAGTTATAACTTTGTATAAGGAAAAAATAAAATCATTTTTGTATTCACGTTTTTATACCTATTTTCAAATTTAATTCACACCATATTAAATTCATAATAATATTTTTATTATTTTGCTTAATTATTTATTAAAAAACGAAAAGGTTTTATATTATTTATACTACTATTAACTATTTCTTAAAAAAACAGCGATAATAATAATTTCACATCAAATTTACTGAATTTTTATGAGAATAATGTATAAAAAAATATAATTTATTTATTATACATATATAAAAAAGATATAAATATGCAATGTTATAAATCGCTGAATCTCAAATATAAAGTAACAATATATTTTATTGGGTTTATCCATAAAAATTGTTATTATAATTTTTACTATACTGCCATACAAGTGCAATACTATTTATTATATGAGTTATGTAAACATAATTTATTTATTAAGAAATTATTAAAAAAATGAGCCTTCTCCCGTAATAATAATATAATAGACTATTATTTCTTTTTTACATATTATAAAGAAACTTCATTAGTATATTTGTGTGATAAAATTGATAGTGTTTCAAGATTATTGTATTATTGTATAAAATTAATTACATGTTGCAAATTAATAAATATATAATATATGTAGTTCTTTTTTACTACATACAACCCAATATATAACACATATTACTCGAATATTTGTTACATATTATTGAATTTCCATAAGGAATACATAATAAATTGAATGGAAATAGCATAGAATAATATATTAATATATAAAAATATTATATATTAAAATATGATTATAATAATTATATTTTTTTAAAAAAATAAAATTTTTATAAAAATATACATTTCCTAACTTATAAATATAATGATATCATTTATCATAAAATTAGATGTTACCATATTGATATTTTAACTAGAACAATAATCTGTGTGAATACATTTTTTATTTGTTTATATATATTATATTTTTCTTTAAATATTAATAAATATTTATTCATACTAAATTTTTACATCTGTTTTCGTATATTTTTTAATTATTATGCTAAGCATTCAAAAGGGTAAACTGAATACCTAATTATAAATAATAAATTTTATTATATATGTTTTATTAAAATATATCCTAATAGAAATAAATTAAATATAATAGTATGGCAGAAACATATGATCTAAATATACTTATATACTAAATTGTACATGTAAAATTATGAAAATTGCTCAATATATTTAGAAGGAGCTGCATAATACGGTTTAGGAAATAGAAAATTATATATACCTTAATTTGAACACTTTTTGAACTTCGTATATATATAGTTGTATGTTAAGACATAATATGTATGTGCGTTATACTATTAATATTTCTTAACAGATTTCAATGTAGTTTATCCTTAAGAATATAGAATGTTATTACGAATTTTTGGAATTTGAGATAAATTATTTTTGCACATAAAAAATTCCTATAATTCAGGCTACATTTAGTTTGTTCATATAATAGTTAACAATGTAATTGTAATAAATTAAATATAATTTAGTGTTCTAAATATATAAATGATTTTAATTAATATATAATACATTTATATATATAATTCAGTGTTGTTCTAAACATTTTTATGATACATAACCCAGATATTATCAACTGCATGATCTTAAGTAAAAGGGTTTAG